TTATTTAGTATATTTTAAATATAATTATTAAATAATATTAAATTCAAATAAATTCAAATGATATTACATGTATGTTCTTCTATTTCTATTTATTAAATTAATATCCAACCTTTCTAAAATTATAAAAATAAATCAAATGTTCAGAATCTTTTTAATGCCATCAATGATTTACCGTTAGAGCATGTCAAACTTCATCCTCTAATACCGCTCTTTTCCATCACATTATTAAAAAAAAAATAATCATCACATTTTTGATTGTGTCTGACAAGTTTTAACGCTCTCTCTCATTTTTGCTCAACCACTTCTTCTACAAGTCTGTGTTCAACTGTGTTGCTGTCAAACAATCATTCACTACTACTACAATCTAATAATAACAAATAACAAATTAAAATAATTAAAACAATTAAAACAATATAACAAAACAAACAACAATGGACTCTACAATTAAATGTGTAAATATAGGAGATACAGGTGTAGGTAAAACTTGTGTACTAGTATCATATACAGAGAATGAATTTCCAGAGGAACATGTACCAACAGCCTTTGATAATTTCACTTCCATTGTTGAATATAAAAATAATAGATATAATGTACAATTGTGGGATACAAGTGGTCAAGATAATGATTCAATGAGACCTATCAGTTATAATGGTGCTCATATCTTTTTAATTTTCTTTTCATTGGTTGATAGAAAGAGTTTTGAAAGAGTTAAAGATAAATGGGTAAAAGAATTAGAAGAAACATCACATATTGATTTACCATATATTATTGTTGGTAACAAGTTAGATTTAAGAGATGATACTCATACTTTAAAACAATTAGGTGTCACTAATCCTGTCACTAGAAAAGAAGGTGAAGAATTAGCAAAGAAAGTTGGTGCTCTCTCTTATATGGAATGTTCTGCTAAAACACAAACTGGTTTAGGTGAGGTTTTTGAGGCTGCTGTAAAGGCTGTCGTTGATGAAGAATGGAAAAAACAAAATGAAGTTATTAAAAAGAAGAAGGATAAAGGTGGTAAATGTAATAAACAATAAAATTATCATTCATTATATTATATTAAAGAATATATTGTATATTATGAATATATTATTAACATGTATTAAATAGATAAATTGTGATGATGTTTATTATTAGAATCAAGGTATAAACCAATGATTTCATCCAATTCCTTCCTAGAAAAGAAGAGTATCTAACTCTGGATACTGTCAAAAATACATTTCCATCGCAAGCTGAAATAGTATTTGAATTCAATACAATCGATTGTTGGCAATTCAGCTGTGCAGCTCTTCAACACAACACGTTCGTTGTTATGCTAGAATTTCAAGATAGCTATATTACTCATCGTTCAAATGAATGAAAAGGGCAAGTAAGCGTTATTAAGATTTTTGACAGTTCTTAAAATTTGTTGGAAAATGAGAGATCTACTGGATGAACTATTTGCTTACATTTTCGAAAACTATTTGCTTACATTTTCGAAAATTATTTACCAAATTCAACAGCAGAAAGACGATTTAAACAATTCTGCTTTTCAATGATATTGAATGATTGTTAAAACAAGGAATAAATCATCCATGAATATTTTTATTGTGTTAGAAGTTGACCATAATGATAAATATATTGCCTCTCATAGTAGGTCCATAAAAAAGAGTTGCACAATGATGAAAATTAAATAAATTATATTACCAAACATAATTTTTAATACGTTTCATAAATAATTTTAATAATAAACGTTGTGTCAAATGTTTAATTTCTTCATTTTCATGTTGTATTGAAATATTATTTAAATTTGTTAAAAATGTCTAAATAATTATTAAATATTAAATATTAAATATAAAAACTTACTTGATTTTTAAATTCATTATAATAATAAATACTTGTTAAATCATTAATAATATTTAATAATTGAATTAAATCATTATTATT